CATCAGGACATATATTAGTGAAAACTACATAGCAGCATCTAAGGCACAAAAGGCTGCCCCACAAAATGTGCAGTTTTAAAACTAAGTTTCTTTGACTTCAGATCAGCCAGAGAACTAGTAGAGAAACCCAAGACCTCTGTCTGTAAGTTATACTATTAAGTACTTGTTTTAAAAAAAAGCTATTATAATAATCTGTTTTATGACTGTAACTAATCTATGGACAGTCCCTTCTTCAACAGTCCCTCAGTCAAGGATGATGGTCTTCTATGATTGTTTTATCTGTAGGTCCAAAGATGGCTGATGAGGCCAATCTGGGATTGAAAGACTCTGCTGCAACTCAGGCATGAATTTTCATGAGGGGCAGGTGGCTCTGGATTCTTGATTTGGTCTGGAACATGCTGTTTGTGTTGTTCCCACTTTTCCATCTCCTGTTGTCATCATAAGTACTGAGATCCTTGTAGCAGTTTCTTCCTCCATTTGGGGTGGTCCTGGGTGATAGTCTCCCATGAGTTTATGTAGATGTTGCATTTTTTTTTCAAGTTAGCCTTGAGGTGCTTCCTCTTCCCTCTACTGAGCTGGGAGAATAGCACATGCTTCTGGAGTCTGAGATATCTATGTGATGTGGCTGGCCCAGCAAAGCTGATGTCAGATAATCATTGTCTCAATGATTGTGGTGTTTGCTTATGAGAGAACATGAATGTTGGTGTGTTTATCTTCCCTCTGGATTTGAAGGATCTTCCTCAGGGAGCATTGATGGTACTTCAACAACTTGAGGTGTCTCCTGTACATTGTCTACATCTCAGCTCTGTACAGTAAGGTGTAAAGTATTCAGTGTACTTTACTGTCCATAGTAACTGACTGTATGGAGCTATGGACAGTAAAGTACACTGAACTCAGCCACTACAATCATTAAACAAAAGATCTGGAGGTGAAGACATTAACATCCATCTGTTGTTGCAGTTGCAAGAAGCTGAAGGACAGAGGGTAGTCATATATACTTCTTCCTAAAGACTCTTAGGAAGCATGAAGCAAGGTTCAAAAGGGCCTGTGAGTGCTGCAATGGACACTGCTTGGAGAACGTGTCACAATCTGAGCTGCATCAGGCAGTGGACCCTTGTGAGTGGGAATATGCAGAGGACACACTAAGAAGAGCAGACGCTTGTGGGAGGGTGTTACTGTATTACATAAACCAACTGTACCATGAATCTAACATTGCTTGGATATAGTATAGGTTTTTCTTGCAGCAGAGTTATTTTACTAATTGGAATCTTGGAGTCTTTATCAACTAAATTATTCTAATAAAAAATACCACTTCAAACATATTGTACCAAAAAGAATCTCAACAAACAAACCACCCAGAATGGTAAAATGACTTAGCCAAAAAAGAAAGAGCAGCACAGGTGTCAATCAGGCATTTCCTTCATGCAAGATGAATTTGGTCATACAAAGAAAAATCAGTTAACATAAAGAAACTAATGCACAGAATCTCAGTCCAGCTCTTCATGTTCTGGTCTATTCCTGGGGGGCATATTTTTATGGTTCCTTCTTGGAATATTCATAACCCTCATTTGTTAATACACTATTTCCAGGGACAGAGTTGTTCTTATACATCCCATTCCAAAAGCACCATGCTGTTTTACTTTTTATAACTGACTCTCAAAATTATTTTCTTTTTAGAAACTAACTTGCCAATAGAAAGAGGATATGCCCAATTCAGATACTTACGTATTTTACTGCAAGTGGAAGCAGTATGGTAACTAGTCTGAACTCCCACATTACACAGACCATAACATTGCATTTCAAAATTCTTGCATCAAATGCACAGATTCTGAATGAGTTGCAGCATATCTTTTGGAAAGATAACCTCTTTAAAACCTGTTAGGGGTAAGTGATAGAGACTAACAAATCCCTAAGAAAACTAGCCCCAATGTTTAATTGCCCTCCCT